GTGTGTGTGTGTGTGTGTTCATCTCCCCAGGGGGATGAGATCATATGTGACCAGGACAGATTGATAGTCAGGCTTGCAATGCAAGATGACCTATTTCAGTTTAATATAACCCACATCCAAATTAAGTAGAACTTTTTAGGTTTCAAGAGGTTTGTGCATGTCTTTGTTTTGCTCTTTTCAAAAATGCTTTTTGGTAAAATTGTGTAGCAGCAATGTGAGAAAAGAAACATATCTCAGTTCCTTTCTCATTACCAGCTGATCCTGGCTGAACACTGCTTGTTGTCTGCTCCGATGATCCACAGGCAGACAAACACACAGCAATGCACCAATGTGGATCTACACACTGGAACAACCACCAGCTGGCACTAGTAGGCAAACACAACACGACATATACTGTATCATGCTGTAGTGTATCTTATTTAATAACGTATACCTCAGCCATTTTTTTGCTTTGCCTATTTTTGTAATACTGAAAACAAACTGAGGCTTTAAGAGCCATATTTTGTGTGTTTCTTTTACACACATTATCAGGACTGCAAGCGCATATTTCCCCCCTGAGCCTTGTACACAACAACTCATGTGAATATCCTATAAAGGTGGTGTATGACTGCAAAAGGAAATGTATCTCACATCTTTAGACAATTAACGGAGTCGGGGTGTGTGCATACAGCTGGCATTTATTGTCTGCGGCTTTCACAGTTCTTGCATCCCTCCCCCTCTGGTTCCTTCCTTCCTGGGCGCATGCTTGCTTCAGCACCACGGACAGTGACCCGCCTAACGGAGCTGCGTTGCCATGGTGACGTGCTGTCTGCTCACTGGAGCTGCCTGTAATTTAATGTTCTGACAAAGTCTCCTCCGCTTCACAGTGCAGCACACGCAGCTTGCAAGATACTGCTGACACCTTTGCTTAACAAAGGGCTGATAATCAGGGGAAGGAGGTGCTTTGAAATAGGCTGGTATCATTGCGACAGCATGAGGGAAACTATGGGGGGCAGACACAGTAGAAGGTGTTGCAGAATGCGGCAAAGCTCGTGCACGAGCACGTATATATTTGCTCTAGTCATGGCATGTGGGAGGGGTGCGAAGATGCTGGGCCTTGATTATATAGGTCACTGTGCTCCTCGGTTGGTGTTAGTGTAGAAGCAATTTTTTCTTTTCCATAATACTTTATTCTTTCGATTCCCGTTCTGCATGACAAGGCTGCTGCGAGGGGAACACGCCATATGAACAATGTAGAGCTGGGAAACGAGTGGGCTCATCAAAGCTGCATTTGCTGGTCTAATCCATGAGAGGTCACTGCTCACCTCTGCAAAAGGAGAATGACTGTGGGGAGTGAGCTGAGCAGATAGTATGAGCAGATAAAATGTGAATGTCAAAAACTGTATTTTAATTAGGACAAAAAGCAGGTAAAGGTTTATTTTAAAGACCCCTCGTTTTCATATAGTTTTCACAAAGTTTAGTGGAAAGAGTTAGCCAGTGTGCTTTGGTCCTAAATCTAGAGAGAGAAACAAAAATATGTAGATAAAAATAGAAAGAGAGAGACTTAGTGGTCAGCTGGTAATTTCATTGATTACAGTTAATTTGTACCATAATCAGAGAGTCTTTTGGTCACTGCACAGCCGCTCAGCTGAAATGTACGCAGGCAAAAACATATATAACCAACATAAACTGAGACATAAACAAATGATCTGAATATTCACTGTTCGTCAGGATCCACGTATAAGAGCCCATCTTTAAGACACACATCAAATTACCTTTTCTTATAGCTGGTCTAATTATGCATTCTGCTTAAAGGGTCCGCTGTCTAATCTATGATGTGGGGTAGTTTTCAGACAAAATCAAAAAGGCTAAACTGAATGGAAACGTTTTTATCGTCACCATAACATCGCTACAGTGGGTGGTGCTGCTGCACTAGATATTGGTTGTCTGAGGAGGCATGATTTTTTTTTCCATGTGCATTCAGTAACAACCCATAGAGAGGTGGTGAAAGAGCGGAACAAACAACTTTCATTCTTCTACTAGAATGAGGTTTCCTGTGGATGTTTGTGTTTCTTATCCATGACAGGAAACAAAATACGAATTTTGTTGACGGATTTAAGACCGTTGATTAAAATATTTCTTTGTCAAACAATGGCGACAACGCACACCAAAGGACAATGGATGGATGCATGGATTGCTTTTTGTCTGGTGCTGCTGATTGCGACTACGCTTGAAGGAACCTCTGCTCAAATACGGTACTCCGTTCAGGAAGAATCAAAATCAGGGACAGCAGTTGGAAATGTGGCCAAAGACCTTGGATTAGATCTTGGAAGACTATCGGATAGAAATCTTCGTGTCGTGTCAGGAACAAAGCAGGATCTGTTTAAGGTAAATCCGAGAGATGGTGTTTTGTTAGTGAACCAGAGAATAGACAGAGAGGAGCTGTGTGCTAAAACGAGCCCATGCCTCACAAATCTGAAAGCAGTTGTAGAAAATCCTCTCGAGATGCACCAGGTAACCGTTGAGATACTCGATGTAAACGACAATTCACCGAAATTCCCCGAAGAAAATTACACATTAGAGGTGTTGGAGTCCGCCACAGTTGGATCTCGGTTTCAGCTAGAGGGAGCACAAGACCTGGATGTTGGTTTGAATTCTCTACAAACATATAAGATAAACCATAATCAGTATTTTCGTCTGGAAACCGATGAATTTGGTGAGGATGGAAAAGTCCCTTTCCTGATATTACAGCGACCTTTGGATAGAGAACACACTGCTCAACACTGGCTACTACTAACAGCTATAGATGGAGGAAAACCATCAAAATCCGGTACAATTAATATCACTGTTATTGTAATTGACGTTAATGACAACTCACCAATGTGCGATAAACAGAAACACACCATAACAATAAAGGAAAACGCACCCGCAGGGACATTTCTGCTGACAGTAAATGCATCTGACTCGGATGAGGGGATAAACGGTGAGATCGAATATTCTTTAAGGGGTAAACTCAGAGGGCTCTCATCTGAGCCGTTTGAGTTGGATAGTAGGACTGGCAAATTAACGGTGAAAGGAAGCCTCGACTATGAAGACAAACAAGTCTACGAGATTAAGGTTCTGGCAACGGACAAAGGTGCCGTGTCTCTTTCTACTCACTGCAACGTCGTTGTCAGTGTGGAGGACGTGAACGATAATCATCCGGAGATAGAGATCACATCCCTCTCAAGTCGTATTCCAGAGGATGCACCTCCTGGCACGGTGGTGGCGTTGATGGGTGTGACGGACCTGGACTCGGGTGTGAATGGCCAGGTAGTCTGCAGTGTGTCTGGTCAATTACCTTTTGACTTAAAGCCATCCCCGGATGGACATTCATACTCTTTGGTCACCAAGGACTACCTGGATAAGGAAGCAACACATATGTATAACATTACAATAATGGCTAAGGATTTAGGGAGCCCTGCTCTGTCATCTATGAAAGTTATACAGGTAGAGCTGCTAGATGTTAATGATAATAGCCCTGTGTTCACTGAAAGGCCATATAACTTTTATGTGCCTGAAAACAACAAGGCTGGAATGTCCATTTTTTCAGTGAGCGCAACTGATGCTGATGGAGGTGAAAATGCTGAGGTCACATATTCAATCGACCGAAAGAGTCAGGGGCCCACGGTAATCTCCTTTTTAAATATAAACGAAGCCAGTGGCATTATATCAGCGCTAAAGAGTTTTGACTTTGAAACAGTGAAAACGTTCCAGTTCCACGTTGTGGCCACAGATTCGGGAACTCCGTCACTGAGCAGCAACGTCACAGTCAACGTGTTCATCCTGGATCAGAACGACAACCCTCCAGTCATCCTGTATCCACTCAGCTCCAATGGGTCTGCTCAAGGTGTGGAGGAGATCCCCCGCAATGTGAACGCAGGACACTTGGTGACTAAAGTCAGAGCCTATGACCCTGATATAGGATATAACGGCTGGTTGCTCTTCTCACTGCAGGAACATACTGACCACAGTCTCTTTGGTTTGGACCGCTACACAGGACAGATCAGGACACTTCGCTCATTCACTGAGACAGACGAGGCTGAGCACAAACTGGTCATACTGGTAAAAGACAATGGCAACGTGTCCCTCTCAGCAACAGCTACTGTGGTTGTCAAGCTTGTGGAGCCCAAAGAGGCTTTTGCAGCTTCTGATGTTAAAAGTGCAGCAAAAAAAGATGATGAGGACACTAATGTGACTTTTTACCTGATGATAACTTTGGGCTCAGTGTCTGTACTTTTCCTCATCAGTATCATCGTGCTGATCGCGATGCAGTGCTCCAAATCCACAGACTATACTTCTAAATATCTACAAGAGGCTAATTATGACGGGACACTGTGTCACAGCATCCAGTACAGATCTGGAGACAAACGGTACATGTTAGTTGGACCCAGGATGAGTACAGGATCTACTATAGTCCCAGGCAGCTACGGTAACACACTAGTGCTCCCTGACAGGAGGAGGACGTCTGAGGAGGTAAATGTTCTCTATTCATTTACGCAGTTGTAAATTGTTGTCCATACATTTGTAGAGTACATTTTATGTCCATTGTTGACTTCGGGTTTCCTCTTTCGACTATGCTGATGGTAAATTGCGCTGTCCCTGGTGCTGAAAGTTAGCTTTTAAAAATATTTAGAAGGACAAAGGGCCGCAGTTTATTCAGTTAACTGCTGTTGTTGTGAATAATGCGCGTATTCCCCATTTGGTTTGGATCTTTACGTCCAGCCACGTGTTTGATATTCGTCAAAATAAATCCACAGCGTGAAAAAACAGATTTTGGAGCAGATTTGCAATGTGTGTTAGCAAGATCCCGTTCCATTCAACCACGCATATAAACAATGCACAGAATTATTTGCAGATGGTATTTTTTGTACTAGTAACTGTCCAGTAAGCACACATCTGAGGAACATAGAGCTGAATGCAATATAAATACCAAGAGAAGGAGGTAGTAAAGCAAAACACTTGTGATTTCGTGCCGCATTGTTTCCCGTTGGCCATAGGGTGCCAGTGTGGCCTAGATAATGACCGTGTTTCTAAATCTCTACAGGCCCTGCCCATGTCAGAATCATTTCTGATGGAGCTGGTATGGTGACGGAGTACACATCGTAGGCTATGTTTCAAGTAATATGAGTAGCTGTTAAAATTCCCGTGTGAAAGATTCTATTGGAGAGTCATGAGATGGATCTAATTACATTGGTTCGATGAACAACTGGATCTCTGCATTTGCTTTAAAGAAAGCCCTATTTTTCGCTTCATGATGGGAGAACGAGAACAAAGACGCCGAGTGAACTGCTGGTGGGTTACTGGGATTTTGATGTTGTGCTTTGAGGAGCAGATTTTGGCTCAGATAAGATATTCGGTTCCAGAAGAAGTGCAAGTGGGATCCACAGTTGGAAATGTTGCCAGGGATTTAGGACTTGACGTGAGCACCTTGACAGACCGACGGTTTCGTATTGTTTCGGGTCCAAATCATGCTCTGTTTCAGTTAAATCAGAACAATGGAGTGCTGTATGTTGGAAAAATTATGGACCGCGAAGAGCTCTGTGGAAGAAGCAAAGTCTGCTTGACAAACTTGAAAATTGTAGTTGAGAGCCCACTGGAAATACATTACCTTGGGGTTGAAATAACGGATATTAATGACCACTCGCCGTATTTTCCAGAAAGCGAACAGCGACTGGAAATAGCAGAGAATACTCCTCCAGGTACCCGTTTCCAAATTCATGCCGCTAGAGACCCTGATGTCGGTACTCAGTCAGTGCGATTGTATAAGCTGAGTCAAAATGATTTTTTTGATATTGAATTAAGAGAGAGCGAGGAGGACAAGATACCGTTTTTGGTGCTAAAAAAGTCTTTGGACAGGGAGCAAAGGGCAGAACACCGTTTAGTGTTAACAGCTCTTGATGGGGGCAGCCCGTCAAAATCCGGGAGCCTTAATTTAACCATCACTGTGCTAGACGCAAACGATAATCGCCCTGTGTTCAGCAAAGATATTTATACAGTGTCACTAGATGAAAACGCCCCAGTTGGAACTCTTGTAATACAACTAAACGCTACAGATTTAGATGAAGGTTTGAACAGTGAAATTGAATACAGTTTTGGAAAAACACAAAAGAAAAAAGTGCATGACACATTCGAATTAGACAGTGTCACTGGTGAGATTCGAGTGAAAGGAACCGTGGACTTTGAGGAAATGGAGCTTTACAGACTAGATTTGCAGGCTTCAGATAAAGGCCAGCCACCGTGGACATGCGAAAGTAGAGTTGTGATTAAAATAAAAGATGTAAATGATAACAAGCCAGATATTGAGATAACATCTTTATCCAGCGTAGTCCCAGAAGATTCAAAGCCTGGCGCTGTAATCTCTCTCATTAGCGTTACAGACAGAGATTCAGGTATTAATGCAAAAGTTATCTGCAAAATCTTGGGAAATGTTCCTTTTGATTTGACGCCATCCATTGAAGAAAACATGTACTCTCTAGTCACGAAGGGGCGTTTAGATCGAGAATCTGTGTCCCATTATGACATTACAATAACAGCTACTGACTGTGGTGAACCTCCACTTTCTACTGTAAAAACCTTAAGTGTTCAGGTGTCAGATGTGAATGATAACAAACCAATTTTTAGCCAGAATCCAACTGAACTTTACCTGGTAGAAAACAACGTCCCAGGCGCATCAATATTTTCAGTAAGTGCTGCTGATAATGATCTGAATGAAAATGCAGCAGTAACATATCACATTGTGAGAGGTGCTGGGCTGCAGGCCGATATCACATCGTTCCTGAATGTCAACTCAGAAAACGGAGACATTGTGGCGCTAAAGAGTTTTGACTTTGAAACAGTGAAAACGTTCCAGTTCCACGTTGTGGCCACAGATTCTGGAACTCCATCACTGAGCAGCAACGTCACAGTCAACGTGTTCATCCTGGATCAGAACGACAACCCTCCAGTCATCCTGTATCCACTCAGCTCCAATGGGTCTGCTGAAGGTGTGGAGGAGATCCCCCGCAATGTGAACGCAGGACACTTGGTGACTAAAGTCAGAGCCTATGACCCTGATATAGGATATAACGGCTGGTTGCTCTTCTCACTGCAGGAACATACTGACCACAGTCTCTTTGGTTTGGACCGCTACACAGGACAGATCAGGACACTTCGCTCATTCACTGAGACAGACGAGGCTGAGCACAAACTGGTCATACTGGTAAAAGACAATGGCAACGTGTCCCTCTCAGCAACAGCTACTGTGGTTGTCAAGCTTGTGGAGCCCAAAGAGGCTTTTGCAGCTTCTGATGTTAAAAGTGCAGCAAAAAAAGATGACGAGGACACTAATGTGACTTTTTACCTGATGATAACTTTGGGCTCAGTGTCTGTACTTTTCCTCATCAGTATCATCGTGCTGATCGTGATGCAGTGCTCCAAATCCACAGACTATACTTCTAAATATCTACAAGAGGCTAATTATGACGGGACACTGTGTCACAGCATCCAGTACAGATCTGGAGACAAACGGTACATGTTAGTTGGACCCAGGATGAGTACAGGATCTACTATAGTCCCAGGCAGCCACGCGAACACACTAGTGCTCCCTGACAGGAGGAGGATATCTGAGGAGGTAAGAATTGTATTACTTTCATTATTATGAATTTAACACCTACCTAATCCTGCAATAGTAAAAAAGTGACTTTGCATCACATCTGGAGTTTTTGCTCCTAAGTCTCCAATGGGACCATTTTTTAAAACTTTTTTTTTTCTATGTGTTTGGAAAACTTGCAATGTGACATGTTCTTTTGTGATAATAGTCAGTGCCATAGTAATGCCTTGTTTTCGGTTGCCTGGCAACTCAAAAATATCTTCAGGCTGTTTAATCAGACAACAATCATCGCTATGTATGTTGCTGTCTGTGGTGCTGAATTCTGGATGTGTTGATTTTGATCACAATATACTGTAGTGATTGTACAGTAGAGCATTACCAGTAATACAGGGGTGGCCAATTCCAGTCCTCCAGGGCCGCTGTCCTGCTTGTTTTCCAACTACCCCTGCCTGACCTGCTGCTGATTACCTGGCTCAGGTGTGTTCAGTCAGTCAGAAGCTGCAAGATATCTAAGATGGCATCTTCCACCCCTGCAGTAACAGCTGTCTGGTGTATTAAAATTTACTCATTATATTGAGGTTAATTTTAACATTAGAATTTAAGAATATTTAACTGTCCTTCTACGTGAAAGAGGATTATAATTTGCTTCCTCCACAAGATGTCAGTGTCACTTTAGTATCAGATTGCTGTGTTATAGTGTTGGCCCTGCCCCTTCCAGACAGGTTTTGTTCCTGTCGGCAGACGGGAGGTAGTTCTTCGAAAGAAACGAGCGTTGATATCGTGAAACTGTAACAGGAGATGAGACGAAATGATATATCAGTTTCCAGGATACTTTGATCTTAGGTGTTTTTAGTTAAATACATGCACCTAGTGGATAATCTACAATGGAGGTCCGAGGACAAAGACGAGGACCACAGCACTGGTGGGTTGCCATCTGTCTTTCTGTGTTGCTGAGCTGCTTGGAGCGGGGTTCAGCTCAAATAAAATATTCGGTTCCAGAGGAGGTAAAAGTGGGATCTGTGGTTGGAAATGTGGCCAAGGATCTAGGACTGGACATCAGCTCGTTGGAGGAAAGACGGTTTCGTATTGTTTCAGGAACTGAAGAAGCTCAGTTTGAAGTAAATCAAAACAATGGCGTCTTGTATGTGCTTAAAAACATCGACCGAGAAAAGCTCTGTGAAAGCGTTTCGCCTTGCTTGATAAACCTGAAAATGGTAGCTGAGAATCCCATGGAAATACATTATGTGGCAGCAGAAATTATGGATGTAAATGATAATTCACCCAGTTTTCAGGAAGAAGAAAAAATATTAGAAATACCTGAGTCTACACTACCAGGCAGACGCTTCCAGTTACCAACTGCCCGCGATCCAGATATTTCCCTTAATACAGTACGTATGTATAAACTAAACCACAATGACTATTTTAGCACACAAATTCGAGAGAGAGCAGACGACAAGATACCATTCTTAGTTTTACAAAAGTCTCTTGATCGAGAAAAGCACAATGAGCACAAGCTGGTTCTAACAGCTGTTGACGGAGGAAATCCACCGAGATCAGGGACCCTTAATGTCACAGTCCTAGTCCTCGATACAAATGACAACCATCCTATATTTAGCCAAGAGGTGTACTCGGTAACTGTATCTGAAAATGTAGGTTCAGATACAAGTGTAATTCAAGTAAAGGCAACTGATGTAGATGAGGGCACAAATGGAGAGATTGAATATTTTTTCGGGGGGGAGCTTGACCCCAGTGTATACGACATGTTTAGCTTGGATAAAGACACTGGTGAAATTAGAGTAAAAGGTGAAATTGACTTCGAGAAGGCTGATGTTTATAAGTTAGACGTCCATGCTACTGACAAAGGACAACCTCCAATGAGTACTGATTGCAGGGTGATTATTAAAGTGCTCGACGAAAATGACAACAAGCCTGAAATAGAGGTGACATCCCTTTCAAAGATGTTATCTGAAGACTCGAAGCCTGGCACTGTGGTTTCTCTGATTGGTATTAGAGACAAAGACGCTGGTTTGAACGGCAAAGTCATATGTAGTCTTTCAGACAATGTGCCATTTGAATTAAAACCTTCATTTCAAGATAATGTGTACTCATTAATTTTGAAACAGCATTTGGATCGAGAATCAGTTTCGCATTATGACATCACAATAACAGCTACAGACTGTGGTCAACCTCCTTTATCCACATTTAAAACACTGAGTATTGGTGTATCAGACGTGAATGATAATAGTCCAGAATTTTTGCATAATCCAGTTGAACTTTACCTGATAGAAAACAACGTGCCAGGTGACCCTATATTTTCTGTTACTGCGTCGGATAAGGACTTGAATGAAAACGCGGCTTTAACTTATCATATCGTCAGAGAAGAAACTGCTCAAGTTAAAATTACTGCATTTTTAAATATAAATTCAGATAATGGACAAATTACAGCGCTAAAGAGTTTTGACTTTGAAACAGTGAAAACGTTCCAGTTCCACGTTGTGGCCACAGATTCTGGAACTCCGTCACTGAGCAGCAACGTCACAGTCAACGTGTTCATCCTGGATCAGAACGACAACCCTCCAGTCATCCTGTATCCACTCAGCTCCAATGGGTCTGCTCAAGGTGTGGAGGAGATCCCCCGCAATGTGAACGCAGGACACTTGGTGACTAAAGTCAGAGCCTATGACCCTGATATAGGATATAACGGCTGGTTGCTCTTCTCACTGCAGGAACATACTGACCACAGTCTCTTTGGTTTGGACCGCTACACAGGACAGATCAGGACACTTCGCTCATTCACTGAGACAGACGAGGCTGAGCACAAACTGGTCATACTGGTAAAAGACAATGGCAACGTGTCCCTCTCAGCAACAGCTACTGTGGTTGTCAAGCTTGTGGAGCCCAAAGAGGCTTTTGCAGCTTCTGATGTTAAAAGTGCAGCAAAAAAAGATGATGAGGACACTAATGTGACTTTTTACCTGATGATAACTTTGGGCTCAGTGTCTGTACTTTTCCTCATCAGTATCATCGTGCTGATCGCGATGCAGTGCTCCAAATCCACAGACTATACTTCTAAATATCTACAAGAGGCTAATTATGACGGGACACTGTGTCACAGCATCCAGTACAGATCTGGAGACAAACGGTACATGTTAGTTGGACCCAGGATGAGTACAGGATCTACTATAGTCCCGGGCAGCCACGCGAACACACTAGTGCTCCCTGACAGGAGGAGGACGTCTGAGGAGGTAAGACCTTCAACGCAAACACAACCAACGACGGCTCACAAACGAACTCAGACACCTTTCAATGACGATTAACTGACTGTAGCAAAATGCAGAATCTCTTTCACTTAATTCAGATGCTTTGCTCCACGGTTTTGTCTGAGCTTTCATCCACATAGTTTTCATGCATAAAAGGCAATCATGTCCACGGTGTATAACAAATATTCAAAATAAATACTATAGTTCAGATGCTATTGTGCACATTCAAGAAGAAAATCTTTGTCTGGTTATGAGCGCTGTCCATGGTGATGAAATGCTTTAGCTTCTCTGTCCAACATACCAGAGTACTTTGTATTTTGGAAGTTGTGGATCTGTCTGAGAATACTTTTTGTTTTTGAGAGCTGTATCTCTCAAGAATTAACTAAATTCTTACCTATAGCTGTGGTTTTGCTGAAGAAGTGGCTGAGGACGTTGTATGACCTGCACTGTCTAAATACTGAGCATAACAAAAGGTCTGCATGCGTGCGCCATTTTAACTGCGTATTGTTCCTGTCAACTTTATAATTTTGCATCGACTTTAAACTAACTTAAAGACAGAGGGTTTCTAACTTTGATCTGACAAAAAATGCAATTTCCCATTTTATTCCTGTTTGTATTTACCTGCAGGTGTCACTGTAACACTGGTGAACGATAGAAGACTTTGTCCCTTCCCTCAAAAAGCTTTTGTTTCTCATCCACAACAGAGCAGGCATTTGAATCAAGCACACTAGCCGGTGGATTAGTCTCTGCATTTCGTTACCATATCACCAACGGTTTTGACATAGACACTGGTTCAGTCGCAGTATCAGGCTTTTTGCATTTTTTATAAGGTCTATGATGGGAACCGAGAGACAAAGTCAAACGAGGTGGAATATGATTGTGTTTCAAATGGCTGTACTGCTTTGTGCCGGAAATCAAGCTTTTGCACAAATGAAATACTCTGTTCTAGAGGAGGTGAAAGAAGGAACTGTTATTGGAAATGTGGCGAGGGATCTTGGCCTTGACATTACGTTGTTAGTTGACAGGCGGTTCCGCGTCGCGTCTGGACCTAAGGAGACATTTTTTGAGGTAAACCAGAACAATGGAGCGCTGTACGTCCAGAAGAAAATCGACCGAGAGGAGCTGTGTCATGATAGCGGTGCGTGCTTAATGGACCTAAAAATCCTTGTTGAAAACCCTTTGGAAATACACTACGTGGTAGTAGAGATTTCTGATGTCAATGATCACGCTCCTAGTTTCACGGAAAAACAGCAGATGTTTGAAATATTTGAACAGACACTGCCAGGAAGGAGATTCCAACTGCACACTGCTCGTGATCCCGATGCGGGAATGAACTCTATTCGTACATACACTTTGACTTCAAATGATCACTTTGAAATAGATATCCGCCAAAGCGATGAGGATAAAATACCATTTTTAGTGCTGAAAAAATCATTAGACAGAGAAAAAACGAGACAACACTTGTTATTTGTTACAGCAGTTGATGGAGGTAAACCTCAAAAGTCAGGGACACTAAATGTCTCCATTATTGTCCTTGACAGTAATGATAATCGCCCAGTGTTTAGTCAGGAACTTTACAATATTGAAATAACAGAAAATGTACCAGTCGGCACTTCAGTGATTCAAATGAATGCGACGGACGCTGACGAAGGCACTAACAGCGAGATTGAATACAGCCTTGGAAAAACTCTTAAGAAAAACGTATATGATATGTTTGAATTAGACAAATTAACTGGAGTAATAAAAGTAAAAGGATTGGTGGACTATGAGGAAAATGATATTTATAAACTTGATGTTGAAGCATCAGATAAAGGGACACCTCCATTAACAGGTGAGTGTAGAGTCATTATAAAAGTCATAGACGTCAACGACAACCCACCGGAAATAGAAGTAACATCGCTATCAAATACGGTGTCTGAGGACTCAAAGCCTGGCACACTCATTTCATTACTCAGTGTGATGGATAAAGACTCCGGTGTGAATGGGAAAATAATAGCAAGCATAACTTCAGACGTGCCATTTGAATTAAAACCTTCCTATAAGGAAAACACATATTCAGTTGTCACTAAAGGCGTTTTGGATCGAGAGCAGGTGCCAAAATATGAAATAACAATAAAAGCCACAGACTGCGGTGACCCCGCCTTATCCACCTTTAAAACTTTCAGCATCCAGATATTGGACGTAAATGACAACAGCCCACATTTCAACGAAAACCCACTACAGTTTTACCTGTTAGAAAATAATGTTGCGGGCGCTTCAGTTTTCTCTGTAAGCGCAAAGGATGATGATTTGAATGGCAATGCAGCAATCTCTTACCATATTAGGAGAGAAGGGAATCAAAATGACATCACGTCTTTCCTTAACATAAACTCAGAAAACGGAGACATTGTGGCGCTAAAGAGCTTTGATCAGAAAACGGAGACATTGTGGCGCTAAAAGGTTTTGACTTTGAAACAGTGAAAACGTTCCAGTTCCACGTTGTGGCCACAGATTCTGGAACTCCGTCACTGAGCAGCAACGTCACAGTCAACGTGTTCATCCTGGATCAGAACGACACCCCTCCAGTCATCCTGTATCCACTCAGCTCCAACGG